CCCCACGCAGCCCCAAAGAAGGACCTGAGCTGTTTGGGGTGGGTCAGGTGGAACATCCCGACTGACTCACTTTTTGCATTGGTGAATGCTTGTGCAGGGCTCCACAGGCAGCTCCTGTGACTGTCCACGTGCCAGAGCAAAACAAAAGAGTGCCCGGAGCAGTGGAGCCTCAGATTTCCTTTAGCTGGTGGGGCGAGGGGAAGAATTTTTAGCAGCTCAGTTAAAGGATATTTCCCAGTCAGCGCCCTGCTCTTACCAGCCCTGTTCCCAAACCGTGGGCAACCCTTGCTTTCTACACCATGCCCTCCCAGTGCTGGCTACGTCCACACCCTGCCCTCAGTAATTAACCGCAGTAATTAACCGCACTATTACCACTTGGCAAAGGTGCCAGCTGTAGGCAGCGCTTGGGAGGGGGACATGGCAGGAAGACGAAGGGCGTTTTGCTAACAGGAGAGAGTTTCCAGGCTGAACCTCTGCAGGTTTATCTGGCCCTGGGGGAGTAGGCAGCTTGTCCCTGCCAGCTCTGCCGTGTGCCTGCGTGCCCATGTGCCACCTCCCCACGGAGCTGGCCTGGCTGCTGCCTCCAGCCCCTGCCGCCCCACAGCGCTGTCACTGCGGAGGGCCCTCCTTCCCCGGCTGGCGTCAGGAAATGAAGAGTTGATCAATGTGGCCATTGTTCCTGTGCTCTCTCTGTCCCGTCCCCAGAGAACCTCCAAATCTCATATGATTTTTTTCCCTTCGTTCTTTAAGAGGAGTCTACCCTGCACCAGCGAAAAGGTGCCTTTGTGTGTGATCTCTGCTGCTGGACACAGCGCCACCAGAGCAGGCTGAGGCAGCCCTTGGGGAGCCCTGGTCAGCATGGCTCTCCTCCGCTGCTGTGCAGGTCAGCAAACAGGACAACGTGTTGGCCAGGAGCCAGCCGAGACACCAAGCCTGGAGGGCCAGCAATCGCACCCCACAGACAGGAACAAGGGGGGCAGTGGCAGGGGTCAGAGCTGCGTGCCCAACAGAGCCTGTGCAGTAGGCCATCGAGGGTGGAGGAAGCAGGGAGGAGCGTACCAGCAAAGCTTCGTAGAGTCCAGCCCCACATTGAGAGAAAAGCTCCAGATCAGACAAATGACCGATTCTCACTGTAATCACAGACCCAGCCATGCTTAGCACGACAGCAGCAGAGCACTCAGCCTGATGTGAAAGCTGGTTTGAGAGCCATCAACGTGTGCCATAAACAATTATGCCTGGGAATAGCTCCCTGCAGGACCAGGGCGATGATGTGTTGAGGTCGGAGCGGGGCACAGGCCGGGATGCTGCGCGGGACAGTGCAGGATCGAGAGGCACAGCCCAGCATGAGCTTGGAGAGGCTGATCCTGACCTGGGCCAACGTGGAGGCAGGGGCGGATTCCAGCCATTACAACCCCTGCATCACCTCTGCAGTGACACCGTCAGACAGGGGCAGCCCGGCGGGGTACCAGGAGGGGGCCGGGGGGCCCTGCAGGCACAGCCGGACAGACCAGCCCCGGGGGTCCCTGCCCTCCTCGGGCCCTGGGCAGGGCTGCCCAGAGGCTCCCAGCCCAGGTGGTCCCTCTTGGCCTGCTCCCCTCGGCAACGGCCAGCGCCTGCCCGGGCTCGGGGGGCACCGTCCTGTGCCAGGCCCCAGCCCAGACCCCCCGCCACCCGGGGCGGAACCCGGCCGGATCGGGGAGGCAGCTCCCAACCCTCCTGTTTGAGGTGGCCGCTGGCCCGGCAGAGCGGGACACCCCTCCGGCGGGGCTCCTGCTCCGGCCGCACGGCCTCGCTCAGGCGGCACCGCCGCGTGCACGGCCCCTCCCGCGTCGAGCGGGGCGGCGGCGGGGACACGGCCACGTCGCTGGGAGCAGACGGCGGCCGCCGGCCCCGGGGCCGAGCCGGGATCGTGCCCGCTGCTGCGGCGCAGCGCGGCCGCCAAGGGGCGGCAGAGACCGCGAGTGGCGCGAGGGCGGTCCCAGCTCCCGCCGCCAGGGGGCGGCAGAGAGCAG